CGGTCGATATATGCACAACACCTTGACGACATACTGTTGTCTGACTTACGTATAAGTCTGTCTCACGGTCCCCACTAGACCACAAGGGGCGTGGTGGGCGAGCAGTCTAAGGCGGCAAGCTACTGATCCAGTGAGCTTGGATATGCCGGGATCGAGCCCACCTGTGACCGGGCGTGAAAACCTTGGAGTCCACGTTGTGTGCAGACTCTTTCAGTGTTGTCACAACCCCTAGTGTACAGTACAAAACCCTGTGCACTTAAAGGACCCACGAATCCGTTGGTATATGACCAGATGGTGGCCACATGAATATGTGCAAACACCTAGTTGCGGGTACAGCAACGTGCAGTAAACTTGGACAAAATACTGTGACTATGTGTCCCAGTCCACCCAACTGTGAATGGGTACCTCGTAAGGATAGGAGAGCCACGTTAACTCGGTGCGCTTAGTGGCTGCAAGAGTTGTATGATCCCCAGGGAGTTGAGATTGATAATACGATGTGCCGTTTGAGATTGACATCCACTGCTCGAGGGAAAAAACAAAGCGCCTTTGAGCAGCTGAGCTGGATATTGGCGCTATACAATTATTAGCACAATAACATCATTTCCCATTTACGATTTCCAAAATCTGTTGCCTGTCATGTGAGATACCACCCCACTATCACCCCTATACAGACCAGTCCTTGACAGTCACTACAGACGTTTATTGTCGTCTCTGAAGCGTTGCGAGCCCACCCAAATCATTGCCGCCTATGTAATTTGAAAGGGTCACAGCTTTCACGGAGCGCGAAACCATTCAGGGTAGTTGCAGAAAACAGGTTTTGAGTGTAGGTGTAGAAATTCGACCATCCTACCCCCCACCCCCCACCCCACCCCCTTATTACTGTATTAGTATAATCTACTAGTAACAGAACCATATTTGAATTGCCCACTGCAGTTAATGTAATTTGACGACCTTGTCTTGGTCACTCGGTTCACCGTTCTTGTCCCACAGTTCGCTCGTCATGCCGAAGACCTGGGTTCGATTCTCTACATGGGTACAATGTGTGAAGCCCATTCCTGGTGTCGCCCGCCGTGATGTTGTTGAATATTGCTATACGCAAAGCAAAACCATACTCTCATTCACTCACGTGTCCCACAGTTGATAAATTACACTTTTCACTTGTCAAATATTCCGGTATCTTAAGACAATCATATTCCCGTTCAACAGTACCCACCATTCACAATTTTGTCTGTACATTGAGATAATCTCGTGCAGGCACTTTAAAGCGCATGCTCAACTAATTTACATATAGTGATTCCTACTGCCGTTCCTGGCCCCGACTCTTCAGCTTCTCTGTGCACGTGCATCACGTGCTGTTTATGCTTCATGTGAAATTTCATTGTGATATGATGAAGGGTTCAGATGGAGTGAATTTAGTTTTACGCCGCTTTTAGCGATATTCCAGCAATATCACGGCGGGGGACACCAGAAATGGGCTTCACATATTGTACCCATGATGGGAATCGAACCCAGGTCTTCGGCGTGACGAGCGAACGCTGTAACCACTAGACTACCCCACCGCCCCCGCTTCCAGATAGAACACCATTGTATGGTAAATATACGCCCCAAAGATAGTTACATTGATATCACCAGAGTATCTATACAGCTGGCTTTGTTGTCCAAGATTGTTATCAGCAATGGTTACTAAGCATCAACAGACATTCTGGGTAAATATTAGCAAACATTCATGAGAATATCTAAAAATATTTGAATCTTTTAACACATATGTGATCACATATTCCCTAAGTTAAATAGTTAATAGTAATTTGAGAAAAGGAAATATTTAAGGGAAAACACGCAAACAAAATCATGTACTTCCTTATAAAATAAACCACTGCTTCAATATAGGTATTCATGCACAAAGCAGGGCCTAGTGGTTAAAACTATCGTTCGTCACGCCGAAACCCGGGTTCGTACCAAACTCACTCACTCACTCATGCACAAAGCATTACACTGATGTGCACAAGACGATGAAGTAAATTGGTTGCGCTGCGGCAGTGCTGTCACCATGACAACAGGTGGACTCTGTTGACCTTATGTATACTTTTGGACATCGATTTAGAACCAGTATTGTAGTTGTGCAAGCTGTTGTCATTCTCGAGGAAGCCCGCATGTCGAATCAGCAAAATAATATTAACCGACCTGAAACCTTTCACTGTTTCTAATACTGACTGACTGACTGACTGAGTTTGGTTTTACGCCGCTTTTAGCAATATTCCAGCAACATCACGGCGGGGGACACCAGAAATGGGCTTCACACATTGCACCGAAGTGGGGATTCGAACCCGGGTCTTCGGCGTGATGAGCCAACGCTTTAACCACTAGGCTACCCCACCGCCCCTGTTTCTAATACAATTAGTTAAGGACATGTATGATACGAGACGCAAGGGCATACTAGTCTTTAACGTTTCAAGGCTGATACTTTTGTAGTGAGTGAGTTTGGTTTCACGCCTTTAGCATTATTCCAGCAATATGATGGCGGGATACGTTTCTGAATATTTTGAAACACTTGATAGTGTTTTCAGGTTTAAATCTTTATATTGTAATGTTTCGTGTTATGTCAGGGACCAGAGAACCGAGGATCCGGGTTTATAAGCAAGAGAGTTTGAATTAGTCAGGTTTTGTTGTAGCAGACTATCCACGTCCAATACTAACGGGGTCTGGTGTATCCACCTCGAAGACAATAGGAGCGGTGGGGGAGTCTAGTGGTTGAAGCGTTCGCTCGTCACGCCGAAGGCCCGGTGTCACTTGCATTAACACTTATCTTATCACTTGCATTAACACTTATCCTATCACTTGCTTTAAATAGCACTTATCCTAGCACTTGCTTTAGCACTTATCCTAGCACTTGTCCTAGCACTTGCATTAGCACTTATCCTATCACTTGCATTAGCACTTATCCTAGCACTTGCATTAGCACTTATCCTAGCACTTGTTTTAGCACTTATCCTGGCACTTGCTTTAGCACTTATCCTGGCACTTATCCTAGCACTTTAACACTTATCACTTTAGTCCTTAGCCTTTTTTAGCACTTATCCTAGCACTTGCTTTCGCACTTATCCTAGCACTTATCCTAGCTTTTATCCTAGCACTTATCCTGGTACTTCCCAGCACTTTCGCACTTATCCTAGCACTTATCCTTTAGCACTTATCCTAGCACTTGCTTTAGCACTTATCCTAGCATTGCTTTAGCACTTATCCTAGATCTTACTTTACCACTTATCCTAGCATTGCTTTAGCACTTATCCTAGCACTTGCTTTAGCACTTATCCTGGCACTTACTTTAACACTTATCCTAGTACTTGCTTTCGCACTTATCCTGGCACTTGCTTTCGCACTTATCCTAGCACTTACTTTAGCACTTACCCTAGTACTTGCTTTAGCACTTATCCTAGTACTTACTTTAGCAGATATTATAACACTTGAACTAGCACTCACTTTATCTCGTTCCAACACAGCACTTGTATTATCACATACTTCAGCTTTTGTTCTAGCCTTGCCCGTTCCACAACGCAGATTGACCATGTATGGCGCACTCAGACTCTATATATATTGTAATATTATTATCACTGGCACATTGTTTTGATTTGTGGACAGAAGTCTGCATAAACACCCGTCAGTGTTGGTTTGACATCTACACAATGTGGCATTCCAATTCCCATGTTATTGTTTTTTCTCTCTCTCTCTCTCAACTCATTTGAGCTTTGCATTTAATGTCCATGTATGCAGACTAGGTCTCGTCGCTATATGGCTGAGATAATGTCCATGCGACGTAAAGCTCAACTCAACTCAACTCATCTCTCAACTCTCAACTCGATGTCGTGGACATTTGACCCCATTCACTCTTCAGCGTTTACTCTTACACACAGACACACATCTATTTATCATTGTCGTAATATTGCGCAACTGCACACTCCAAATGTCAACAGGGAAGATTGTTCCTGTGCACGGTAGACCCGTCCATCCCCACCAGTGACACAATCATCACAAGTACACACAGGAATGCACACACTCTCCCACACACATCTGCACACCTCACACCCTGACAGACACAGAAACACGTACGCACGCAATCACGCACGCACACTATAAAACAGAAATGATCTCGAGATGGTTAAATAATAATAATGGCCATTTCAACACACTCCCCTCCCCCCTTCCCTTTTGAAAATGACTTAAGACCACATTGAAGATTTTTTTTGCGTTGGCGGAGCCAAGAGGAGGGGGGGAGGGGGGGTCGAACCCCTGACACACACACCCCACCCCACCCAAACGGATGCTATACTCAACGGTCAAAGGGATAATGAGATGCGTCCATGACAAATTATGAGGAATCAGTTTTATATATCACGAAAAAAAGACAAGTCCCTTTAAAAATGGGGAAGTGTACACGGAGACCAGTAACAAGACGTCGCTAGAGACGTCCTCCTACAGCACTCTGGTCACCCCTGACATTACACGTACTGGCGGCAGTCTCCGTCTTGTCGTGTACTTGCAAGGTCGGCTCTATGTAACTATGTCCTGTTGTTGCTGCTTCAAGTGGTTAAGAGGTCGGCTTTCTAGTAGCAATGTCGGCTATGTAGCAAGACATTACTGACTGACTGACTGAGTTTGGTTTTACGTCACTTTTAGCAATATTCCAGCAACATCACGGCGGGGACACCAGAAATGGGCTTCACACATTGTACCCATGTGGGGATTCGAACCCGGGTATCCGGCGTGACGAGCCAACGCTTTAACCATTAGGCTACCCCACCGCCCCCAGCAACACGTTAGACATATAGTACACACACTCCACATGCATAATGTCGGCGGTGCTATAGACAACACTACTTCCAGTCAACCTAACTGGCGTCATTCACTCGTTCACTCCAACACACACTACTACGACTGGAGCGATGTGATCGCACACACGTAATAAACAGCAAAAGAAAGATTATGTGGCAAGCCAATATACATACCTCAGCATATTTCCTGCAGGTAGGGTTAATTAACTACTTCCCTCTGAACGCTGGGCACCTGTCCCCTGCAAGTACAGGTATGTTATGTCACATTTGCATAAGCTGATATGCACACATCACATGCATATCTACACAGAATACCTGCAAATAATTGTCAGGTTATTCAGAGACGCCACAAGCATCTTGACTTCGATTTAAGAAAAAAAAAGTAAACGAACGTACGCAAACGTGCGTGAGTCAGTTGAATGACATTCTCTGGCTGTGTAAAGATATATAGATACCCCTTTTATGACATGACGACATCGTAACTTTCAAAGGGTGGTATGCACATATCACGGGGTGTAATTACTATGGTGGTCACATGTTATGCTCATAGTTACGAGTCGCCACCTCACTGCACATTGAGACACCGACACAGAATCGTATTGTCCGTTGGTAATAAAGGCTCCACGACACAACTGCTATGTAAACTATACATTTCATCCTAAGGCCCCATCCTAAGAACACACAGTGCCCTGAATTCAATGCAGCACGCTTACCGAGTTGTACAGTCAACTTACAAACGTTGAATCGATAAAGCGTTGATTCAACGCAATGCATAACTTTTGAAATTCAATCGTAATGAACATTAAGCACCTACCTGTCATTACTCCACAGGTAAACTGCTGTGGTTTGCGTTTTCATTGTGCTGATAAGGTCCGTGTGTTGGTGCACTGAGTGAGTTGGCCGGGCCTGACAGAAACAAAGTACACCCGCTTGTACCTACTCCCCATACTGTATTGATGTGGGCACGGCAAGTTGCAGGATATACAAGTTATCTGACCTACAACTCGCCATTACTACAGTCCAAGGCCGGGTTACCTTTGTGCAAAGATTCGGGTAAACCTTAGTGGATTGATTCGAGTTACTTCAGTGCAGGGACTCGGGCTTCCTTGGTGCAAGGATTAGGGTTACCTTAGTGCAGGGATTCGCTTTACCTTAGTGCAGGGATTCGCTTTACCTTAGTGCAGGGACCTTCAGCTTTACCTTAGTGCAAGGATTCGCTTCGCTTTACCTTAGTGCAAGGATTCGCTTACCTTAGTGCAGGATCTGGATTTTACCTTAGTGCAGGGATTCGCTTTATCTTAGTGCAGGGATTCGCTTTACCTTAGTGCAGGGATTCGCTTTACCTTAGTGCAGGGATTCGCTTTACCTTAGTGCAGGGATTCGCTTTACCTTAGTGCAGGGATTCGCTTTACCTTAGTGCAGGGATTACCTTAGTGCAGGCACCTTAGTGCAGGGATTCGCTTTACCTTTCGTGCAGGGATTCGCTTTACCTTAGTGGGATTACCTTAGTGCAAGGATTCAAGGATTCGGATTACCTTAGTGCAAGGATTCGCTTTACCTTAGTGCAGGGATTCGCTTTACCTTAGTGCAGGGATTCGCTTTACCTTAGAGCAAGGATTAGGGTTACCTTAGTGCAAGGATTAGGGTTTCCTTAGTGCAGGGATTCGTGCTACTTTAGAGCAAGGATTCGTGCTACCTTAGTGCAAGGACCAGGGCTACCTTAGAACAAAGTTATTTTAATGAAATATTTTATCAGTGAAAAGATTTCTCGATGACCTGGCCAGCCTTTTGCAAGATATTATGTGCATATGTACAAAACATATGGAATGAGACACGCAATAATGTTTTATAATACACACAACAAAACATAGAAAACAGTACATGAAAAACATATGGAAAAATAGAGACACGCGTACGCATAGCAAGTTGCAGAGGGGTACGATGTTGATTCCACTACGTATCTACAAGTCTAGACACCGGCCGGCTATGTTTAAATGCCTGTCCACGCATGCGTAATTGTGAGGTCGACAGCTGACAGCGCGTGAAACTATACACGACAGATAGGCAGCGTTGTGACTCAGTCAAGTGTTGTGTTTAGCAGATATAGGACAACATATATTGAGCAATATGTACGCCTACAGGTCACGTGGCGTCACTCTAGGTAATGTCATCACAGTATGTGAACCAGTACGCTGTCTGTATGTGTGTCATTATGTACATGGCAGCTTGATCAACACACGTTAGGGGTTGAGCGAGTGGGAAACATCAAGGCTGTAGGCAGCAGAATTTATAACGCTTTCATGAATGTATCATTTTTCTGAATAGTGAGTCTTCACTGAGATCTGAATGTCACGGGCCCATAGTGCAAGGGCCCATATAGACTAAGGCTTAGTCTCTGAATATATATAATTTTGATAGTAACAAACAAGCCCATTTGATATTGAAAAGGATGCCGTCTAGGGCGACTAGCAGATCGGATTCAGAACCTGAAAATCATAGACTATGCCAAATTTAGGACTTTAGCACTGCAGAGACTGGATTGTCTGGTCAGACTCGATTAATAGTGGTTCAGGGACGCTGTCAGACAGACTAAGGCCCATAGTGCATTTCTCTTCATAATGGCATGTTAAACGAACAAAGCAATATTTCCAATTGATATATTGCTGACAGTTTACAATAGCTTTGATTTATGTTTTGAAGTTTGTTTCCTAAAATAACTACTCGTCAAGATCCGGGTAAGAATTGATCTTCAACAACCCATGTTTGTCGTAAGAGGCGACTAGCCGTATCGGATGGTCAGGCTCGCTGACTTGGTCGTCATATGTCATCGTATCCCAAATGTATAGATATATGTTCATTCTGTTGATCACTGGATTGTCTGGTCCAGACGCGATTATTTATAGAAATAATAACAAACAAATAAACCTAAAATAACTGGGTATGCGTGTGCTTCTAAGGTTACTGTCATCGTTTCATGGTATTCGTCTTCAATGACATATTTGCAATATTTGTGTATTATTGGTTTGTTATGGAACTTTCCCTTATAACACATCCAATCATAGTAAACTGCACGAGGCTTTTGTTAAGGCTTTTCTTACTTTCTTAATATTAATTTAACGTACCAAGTCAAAACATTGATTACACAACGATCTCGTTTCCTGCTGACTGGGTTTTGTCATGTTGCGCAACATAGTACAATAATCAGTCCAGAATTTTCAGACCAATTCATTCAACTGGATACATAAATATTAATCAGTATTATTTGATACATCTTAGCACTTGTATATTGCAACACTACGCTCCTTTTAATCCTTACAAACACGTCGTGCAGCGTGGTCTGTCGTACAACGTGCTCTGACAGACGGAAATCTGGAAATCGTGTAAATCTCAAAGGATTCGTGCTACCTTAGTGCAAGGATTCGTGCTACTTAAGAGACTTAAGAGCAAGGATTCGGGCTACCTTAGTGCGCTAGAAAAGATTGGAGGTCTGGTACGGACTTGATATTATATCAATCACATTTCGCGTTACATAACTACACTGTATAAGCACAAAAAACACATAACAGGTGTAACCAGTGAGCCAGATGAATTGTGAATCATTGTACGACCTCATCAAACAGGGGCAGTCTGTGACGTCTTAATTAAGGTCATGCCATAAAATATAGAAATACGATGTTATTAAAGTTTAAACTTGTAAATACCATTTCCTTATGAAACAAGGAATTGGAATTCAGTGTAACCATAGTTGCTTGTGGTGTCTCTTTTCACTTTCACACGAGAAAATTCGGATCGGCTGAAAAGTAGGTCATTGTCTGAAGAGGTTAATGAGACTCATATGTCGGTTTGCATCTATCATACGTGTAGTATTCTTTAAACAGGAAATAGGTAAAAGTATAGGAACTATTATGGAATTTTGCATGCCATTGTTGTATACACAAATTTTGGCATTTTCATACAAGTAAGTTTATTGTAAAGTAAAATATTATACTCGTAGAAACGAATAAGGGAACATAGAAAGTGCAAGAGTTCCTTTATTTATTTCCAGAATTTCACTCACAGTGAAATACATACCTTGTGAAGAAACCTTGAAAAAGAATAAAGGAACACTTGTACTTTCATATGTTCCCTTATTCGTTTCCATGAGTATATAAAGGAAACCCAAGTTCTATGGACAGTCAACTTCTTTATTGCAGAGAGTGCGACGTTTTGGCGTAGGTATTAATACATACTTGCTTCATCACTTGCTTGATAACGGTGTTAGTACTTAAACCGTAACGCTGCACTCATTGCAATAAAGAAGTTGACTATCCATAGAACTTGGTTTTCCTTCATCTTTACAACTAAAATGCCTCTCAAAGAAGTAAAATATTATACTTCTGTATCATGGTTACATCAGAAGAGAACTTCTGGAATGTTTTCAAATTTTAGTTATTGTTGTTACACGTGGTCTCTGGTCTATGTTTGCAGGGTTCACGGCAGTTGGGGTGAGTGAGTGGGTTTAGTTTTGTGCCGCACTCACCAATATTCCAGCTATATGGCGGCGGTCTGTAAATAATCGAGTCTGGACCAGACAATCCAGGGATCAACAGCATGGGCATCGATCTACGCAATTGGGATACGATGATATATGTCAACCAAGTCAGCGAGCCTGACCATCCAATCCCGTTAGTCGACTTTTACGACAGGCATGGGTTATTGAAGATCAATATTCTAACCCGGACACGGCAGTTGGCATCCTCGATTATCTCCAGGGTATACGTTCCGATAAAGCTCCACTATAGTAATCTCCAGGGTAAACGTTCCGATAAATCTCCACTGTAGTAATCTCCATGGTATACGTTCCGATAAATCTCCACTATAGTAATCTCCAGGGTATACGTTCCGATAAATCTCCACAGTGGAGATTTATCGGAACGTATACCCAGGAGATTATCGAGGATGGGCAGTTGGACAAAAAAAGGTTGCAGCGTTCAATATCGTCAACTCCTAGTCCCGGATTCGATTCCTCGTTGGGGTACAATGTTTTAGTTCTGGCTTACTCCGACATGGTATGGTGTGCAGATTTACTGAAAACCGCAATCACTGATTTTCAAGTAAAACACTTAAAATGTGAATGTAACTGAATGAATCTGGGGCTAGCCTTACAGGATAGTAAGGTGCCACTATCTATTGTGCATAGTGTGTGCCCCCTCCATTAGCCGAGCACTGGAAGAACTTACTTGTTAGGTTACATGGCTCGTATCACTTATCTCTGTCAATAGATTTATTCTTCTCAGACGGCTTTTTAACACAAGTGTCATTCATCAATATATTTTTTATAATATGCCAGGGTCTTTCAGGACGAAAATATATCAGCTTCCATGTCTGTAGTACTAAAACACCACCCGACACTTTGTCTTCAGCAACCCATGCTTGTCGTAAGAAGCGGTGATCATGCTTGTTGACTTGGTTGACACATGTTATCCTATCCCAGTTGCGGAGATAAATGCTCATGTTGTTGATCACTGGATTGTTTGGTTCAGATTCGATGTTTACAAACTGTTGTTATATAGCCGGAAATATTGTTGACCGTAGCATATACAAGATACAGACAGAAATTACCATAAAACCTCGTGAATCCGGACGATATTGTTCTGTTTATCAGATCACTGGTATGTAGAGTGTGTGCCTTTCAATGTGTAGACGCTGTCAACACTTGCCGGTCAATGGGATGACTTTCTGTATTGACGGGTTCCGTTTTAACGAGGTTTTACTTTTGAAGATACAAAAGCTGGGGCAGATGAACCTGTAACTGTGATTTTTCAAGTAAGTCAATATAATATGCGGGGCTTATCCTATCTACCTACCCACATACCCGCCGATCCACCAGCCTACCTACCTACCTACCTACCCACCTACCCGTCGATCCACCTTAATACACCTATGATATATAATCTCATACATCATTTAATACACCTATGATATATAATC